AGAGATATGATGAAACATGCATAAAAATGATGTCACGATGTGATGTGAAGGCATGGTGTGCTACGTGATGTAGCTGCCGTGAAGTAGTAGTGTTGTTGAAACATGACAATGTGAGTGTGTGTGTGTGTGTGTGCGTGTGCGTGATGTCCATGTTACAATTTTGGATGAGGGTCATTACATCAAAGGGACACTGTCTTCATAAAGACTCTTGAGGACACAAAGCATCCACATCCTCGCCGTAAGTTTGTCCAGACAGTGTGCAAGTTGGTAGATGCAACCATGTGACACCAAGCCGGACTGTCACCACCAATTATCCTGCTCACCACCAACACACTGCGTTTACACATGCATGCTTTTCTTCTCGGGATGGCACGGAGAACACGCAAACACACTTTCACATGGCACAGGCATGTCACAGGCATAATTTCGCAGCACCAGGTGACCATGTGCCACGTATAATATACTAGACCAAAATGATGCAACAATGTGAAACTCTTTGACACCACCAATCCTCCCGCTCACCAGTGGCACGCCACGTTTATATAGTATCGTTTAGTAATTACACGTATACGTCCGGTTTCCCAATAGCACAAAGCCACGCGAACGCACGGCGGCATGACAGACATATTTTTTGCAGTGCTGTGTTCCACGTAACGCCAAGCCATCTCTGAACCGGCAACTCCATGAAGTCGCAGAGCGCCAAACCTCTGCGCTACAAACTCACCAGCTCTCCCGGAGCTTCCAGGAGCCGGGCACCACGTTTGAGAGAGCAAAACCGCAAGTTCCAAGCTCGAAGCTACCATCAGAAGTCACTCCATATGCACTACAGCAAAGCCAGCTTCAAAGACAGTTCCACATTTTGATATCATCATCACTCAGCCTTGACGACTCACACTTTGGCATCATGTCCACATGCAACGACAGTTTCACACACCACGATCATCTGGTTTTGACGACAGCTCCACACTACGATTTCACTAACTACTGTTAGTCGAATTGTAACTTTAACTGTTCGACGGTTTCACAATCCGGCATCTCCAACATCAACTTTTGACGATAGTCAAGCACTTTACAGTCAAGTTTCGACCCTGCCACACACACACACACAAAATCCCTGTATTGTACTTCTAGACCTGTGTTGATCCACCTCTATCTCTGCACCTGTATTTATACACCTGTAACCGCACACCTGTGTCATCCTGTATCTGTGATACGCGTGTACACACCTTCGTGCACATCTGCATCTATATCATCTATGTTTTGGCGACACCGGTGTACACCTGAAGAACATGAAGGCAAATGGAGTTGACAGGAGAACAGAGTGGCAGATTGAGTTGGCAGAGTTGACAGTTCTTTAGGAAGAATTCTTCACAGGAGCTTTCGGAGAGAAATGCAAAAACACTTTTCTGAGCAGTGCGAGATGCAAGTGCCATGTAGTACGTCCACCTCTTTGATGCCAGCAGCTCGTAAAATCCAGAATCATGTGGGAAGCGGCTCGGAATACCGGCCCTCTCCACCGCTTGCATCATTCGGAAGAAAGCCTTATAGGGCAAAGATTCAAAAGGCAATTGCAACTTTTGGTTTTCAACGAGCTCAAAAATTTGAACCTTCACGACTCAACCAGCGCTCTAGAATCACATGAAAACAAAAGAAAAACTTTGGACATTGGAGAGCTTTGGGGTGTTCCGCGCCTTTTGATCTACTAAGGCTGCTCCTCCATCTCCACCAGTCTCGCTGGTTGGAACACAGTGTTCTTCAAAGCCAGTTGGATAAAGGTGATACATTGCGCAAACCTTATCGATTTCACGTTCAAAGGACAAATAGCAAAGGAATGCAAAGGGCAGTTCATGCGCTTCGTACTTGGCCACACTCAGTTTCTGAACCCTCAACGTACGCAAATGGAGTTATTTGGACGTGCCCCACACCTTTCTGGCACGCCGTAGTGGATGCTGGCTGCTAAATAGCCTTGGCTGGTACTCTTGTAAAGTGAATCATTCTGGAGAATCCATCATCATCTGGCTAGTGTGTGATCTGTACCAGTCTAAAGCTCTGCGGCAAAGTGACATGTGCACCGAATCGGCTATCTTGTCCATGTCAGACTTGTCTTCAATGTAAACTGTCCAGACCTGCCATGGTGCGGCGCCCAGGTCCAGACCTGTATCAAAGAAGACTTGAATTCGAAATTCCTGCAATACCCTGCATCTCAAAAGTCTTGAGCATGCTTGAACCAGGAAGCACATTTCTCATAGCGAAAATCGGCTAGACCTCTTAGGGATGATCAGGGCCGACATTCTGAACCGGGGGCCCGACCCAAACCGATGTTGTCCAATCCTCGTATCGTCAGAAACCTGTAACTGTTAACTGCTATCCAGGCGGCACCTCATGCCTCTACCTTGTAACACACTAAAATTGTGGTCGAACCCTGCTCAAGAAGGTCAGGTTCTAGACTCCTGCTCCAGTGCCCCCTGTCTGGAGTCTGGACCCTCTGCAGTTGGTTATGGGCGTTATGGGGTTGTGTCGGTCAAAAGGAACATGAGCCTCATAGTCTGCGGACAAGTGGTGCTGGAAGTGATCGCAGTAGGAATCGATAAATATGTCAGAGACTGAGCTGCCTCGCCACACGGTCGATTTGCTGGCTGCTTGGCACGACAGTATTGGCACGACAGTCTCGTCTACAGTATTTCAGTGCAACGAGGCGAAGAAAAGCGAAGGCTTCATCAAGATTCACAAGGGCTGAATGCAAAATGAAATCTGCATGCTAGGCCCCCAATGACGGACTGATGTCGCAAAAGGCGCGTGGCCTGTCTCGCCCCATTGAGCCGGCGCCACGATTTCGTTGAGACCGCCCCAGCGGAAGGTGAGGATGGCCTCAAGAGACGGTTCGCTTCTTGTTTGGACCTCCTTTTGTTCAGTAAGTAGGCGTCTAGGTGGTTGAAATAAGGAAAACAAGGTTCGCTAGTAGAAACAAGGTTCGCTAGTAGAAACAAGTGCCACGCTAGTAGTAACAGGTGCCTTACTAGTAGTAACAAGAAGCTAGTAGAAACAAGTGCCTTACTAGTAGTAACAGGTGCCTTACTAGTAGTAACCATAGTACAGACTAGTTTGCTAGCTAGGCTCCTAGGAACAGGACGGATAGCTCACGCTCGCGATGTCAGGTTCCCAGACGCCAGGCCAGGGCACTAACGTCGGATTGGTGGAAATCAGGTGCTTCTTTGCCACAGGATCTGCAGTTGAGTGGATGATCTCTGTCGGTCCCCAATCAGGTTTAACGAGTCACCAGGTTTGGTCACCACATGTCACCAGCCTCTTGCTGGCAAGCATACTAGAGTTCACCAAGCAAGCTGCCCTTCTGCAAGAGAGAAAGCAAGGTTTCAGTAAGACTGTCAGACTGGGTGGGCAAGGTTTCTGTGCTTGGATCACACCTTCTGCAGAAAGTCACGCACTAACACTGCGACAGTGTGCCAGAACTAAAGCATTACTGAAACCATTATTGAACTATTGCTGTAGCTAGAAATTGCAGAGCAAACCTGTTCATCCTGACAAAAATACTGGCTTGACGCATCTTGCTTGCCGCACTGCTGCATGTTTGTTGTCCCACAAAACATTTGCATCCGCGAGCGACCCAAGGAGCCCTCGTGACGATCACCCACATCGGTCCACGCCTCTCCGTACGTATTTGGATGGAAACCATTCGGTCCATCCGCTGGAGGCATCAGCCATGTGACCTCTTTCTGTGAAGAAATACGGCCACGTATACTCCACCTTCACATCTCCAGAACGCTGCTTGGGATCTTGGTCTGCCACCACTCGGGCTGGCATCCAGCCATCGGAAACCCCATGACGGGGTCGATACGCGCCATGCTTGGGATCAAGCACTGCCTTAGAAGCAGCGCAAGTGTCTTGCATCATTGGCATTTTCTGCGCTCCTCTTGCTCTGTTTCTGCTTCCTGCTTCTTTTGCTTCTGCTGCTGCTGCTGCTACTTCTTCTTCTTCTTCTAATGTTGATTATCTCTTTGCTCAATCTCTTCTTGTTCTCCTTCTCCTCCTTCTCCTTCTGCTTCTCCTTCTTCTTGTTCTTGTCTTTCTCCTTCCTCCTTCCTCCTTCTTCCTTCCTCCTTCTTCCTTCCTCCTTCTTCCTCTTTCCTCCTTCTTCCTCCTTCCTCCTCCTTCCTTCCTCCTCCTTCCTCCCTCCTCCCTCCTTCTTCAATCTTTCTTCTTTTTGTGATTCTGCTGTTTGAGGATGTTATTCTTGTTGTTACGGCTGTTCTTGTTCTCGTTCTTCTTGTTGCTGCATTTTTTCTGCGTTGCCCCTCGATGGCCGGCTGAGTGGTGTAAGCGGAAAAGGCCGGGTAGAAATGGAGTGGTGTAAGTGTAAGGTGCGTGCAAAGAAATCCAGTTTTTGCATGAGGCAACCAGGGCAAGTGGAACATGAACCTATCAAGGGCCGTATCTGAACTGCTTGAAGAAGCGCAAATCCTAGGCATGATCCCACTGCAATTTTTCGCAATCTCAGGACAGAGCCAGGTACTTTCGATCGGGTCGGCAGCGTTTTGTCATTCTATAGAAGACAAAGACATCTTCACCTGCTTTGAAGCTCTCCTCCTTGGATGAGGAAGTGGAATGAACCATTTAGTCTGAGAAGACATCCAATCCAAAACTCCAAACAAGGCACCATGGAAAAGTCCTCGACACTGAAATACTTACAGTATCTTACAGTGTCTTGCCTTGCAATGATCTATTTCTGCCTTTAGTTCTGCCTTTGGAAGCTTTCACGGGAAGTAAAACGTTGCTCGGGTCTTGATGGAGTGGCCATTGCTGTCCCCCTATCCCCGCCAGCTTGACATGTGCTTTGCACAGCAGGCCGTGGTCTTTCAAAATTGGCTTGGGCCAAAAAGCCAGAAGTCATAGAACAATGACAAATGCTGCTTTATTTTGACAAAGTGCTCACAGGAAAGAAACGAAACCTAAAGGATGGTGACCACGGTGACCAATCAAATAATCTGTAGAAGTAGGCCATTGCCACAGAATCGAAGCCGAGGCATCAGTCATGCAACATGAGGAAAGGCATAGGAAAATGCATGCAAGGCGCTTACCAATACAAAAACGTTCAATTCAATTTGTTCCTGCTGCTTCTTTTGCTGCTTTTGTTTGTCTTCTCAAAGGCGAAGTAGCACCAGGACCTTCCCCATTGGCCACTTCTCCGAGTGCGTCGTCGTCCGTGTCTGGAGATTCGGCTCTGTCCACGTCATGTCATGGACCTGGATCCGCGTCTCAGCAACTGATCGCAGACCGGTCGTGACCTCACCAAAGGAGGGGCACCAGGATATTTTTATGTTCGAGAGGTTCAAGTTTCATCCTGCAACAGGTTTATAATGTACAGGAGCTCATGGGTGTTTCCTCCTATGGTTTCGGCGACATTGAGGGCCGTGATCCACAAATGAATAAACCTCCCTTGCTGCCTGCCACTCGATTCCGCAAACCCTTCCCGTATAGTTCTAAGCATCCTGCAGAGGTTGGTAATCCAATGCGTATACTCGCCAACGGGCACCCTAAGCTCAGCATGAAGTGTAGCAAACCTTCTATGTACAATAAATATTTGTAAGCACAAACTACCGACTTGCATCCAATCCTCTTTCAGACTCAAGCCTCCAATCCTGAACGATGCAACTTCTACCCACTTTTGAGGCCAACACTGGAGCTGCTGGCCCACATGTTCCAGCAAGGTGGCAAAAAAGTGGATGTTCTTCGGGAAAATGCTCGCCTGGCCGATCGATTTGGACCCGCCAGTCGAAGTGCATGTCACCCAATGGGCGATCCATCAGGGCCATGGCATTTTGCATTCTGAGAATCCCGGTGCACTTCAAGCAGCCGTCCTCTGGAAAAACAGCATCAATAGATCATGTACAGATTGTTTACTGTAATATAGTATTAGATATATAATATGGATATATATATAGCTAGGCTAGCTCGATGGGTAACATCACCCCTATTCGGTGCCCCAGGTGCACAGCTTAGGGCCTGCTTTGCTAAGCCCTATGATAGGCCTATGATAAGACGTTTATGTCCTAAGCCGTATGATAGGCCTCATAGTACAGGGTCCCAAACTACGGCAGGGTATACGCTAAGGGTCTAGGGTCGGGGTTATCCGCCTACAAATTCTAGGCTGTTGAAGGGCCAATCCTCGGATCCTTTGGGAGGGTCCACGCCAGGCCGCTTAAGTCACAGCCACTTGTCGCTGGGAACTGTTCCCGCATGGAACTCTGTCCAGCCACTCTTCCAAAAAGTCACCACCAAAGCATCTGCCAATGTAAAAGCATCATTACATCAGTTGAACTAAAAGCTATTTCAACTGAATGCCATTTCCCTTGTGGAGAAAGTCCCCACCACACCGTCCCTGCATGGGTTGGGGGCAACACACTACCAGAAACATACCAAACCACAATGGAATTCTGTTGCTCAGTAACCCTGAAAATATTCTATGTCCCAAACGACAAACACTTTGCCCTCATCGCTTTCCCAATGAAACGCAGATGATCTTACAGTTTTGATAGGTTTTAAGGAAGGACGATGTCAAAACAAGTATTGAAGTGTATTGTATATTGCAGGAGGGTGTGCGACGAACACCTTTCTACCTTTAAGAACACCTTTAAGAGAAGCGGCACCTTCCCCCCCCACTAAACCCTGGCGGCAGCGACTTATCAGGCGCGCAATCTCACATGGATTTACACCAGCAATTGCAGATGACCGGCTGTGACTTCAAGAGTTGCTCGGGAAGTGGGGGGGGCGCATGATGCGCCCTCCGCGCAGGTTGTGGGGGCTGTAAGCCCTCGGGCCGCTTCCTGAATCGGACCAAGGACGCGGAGGCTGACGCATCATACGCCTGCGCACTCCCCGCTTCTAGGACCTTGTTACGGAACTGACTTGCTTTGTGAGAGCATGGCGGGGCGTGAACGCGGGTGGGCTGAGTGAGAGGCGACATGTCAAGTGAAACGTTGCACACGCTACGCACTTGGTTTGCAACAGAAGTGAGGCTTCATGCGAAGCGGGCCTGTGGAAGCTAGTGGCTCACGTTGCGCACTCTACACACCTGCCCTGCTTTCTCGTGGGTACATGGGCGGGGTGGCGCCTAATCCACGACGCTCCTGCTACGGTGCTATGGGGAGAAGGCTCTGAAACTGTGGTTTTGTGAGCGCTGCACACAGACAACCGCACGGCGCCAGATTCCCGTTTCTTTTGCGCAGTCTGGGCGCGCCTCAGGCGAAGGAGGATCGTGTCCAGGCGCCACGCACGCGCTAACAGAGTTCGCTGCAAACGACACAGGCCGGGGGAGACTCCTTGGGCGTCATCGCTTTTCTCAGATCGTGGAGCAAGACATCTGCCTAGATGCGCTGGAGCGTCGGGGCGAAGATGATGCTGAGGCAGGATGACATGGATGGCATCAGGACAGAGATGTACGCTTGCCGTTCCCGATTTAGTAGCCTGGTGGGTCTTAGCAACAGATTGCCCAAGCGTAAAGAAAGAGTCCACTTAACACCGTGGCTTGCGGCGTCGCGGCTTCCGGCGACGTGCAGCCGGCCAGCAGAAAGAAGTCTAGAAAGGCAAGTGGTTTACAACTGAAAATCATATCTGTGAGCGTCGGCGTATTTTATGCGTGTCGAGGGTCTCTAGGCAATGGGCTGGAGATACGCGTGTGGATCGTGAAGAAAGGTCAGCCACTTCATTGGCCACAACTTCATCACAAAGGCCTCTGAACTGTCGAATGGAGAAAAAGAATGACCCCACACCGGCGCAGCATCCTGTGGAGCACGTATCCGAAACAATGCGGACAAGCCCTACCATAGGGCCTAGGAACCCCTAGGACAGGGCCTATCATAGGGCCTAGGACCCCCTACAATAGACCCTATCATAGGGCCTAGCACAGCCTAGCTGGCCCTAGACTGTGCACCTAGCAGCCTACCCTATGTCAAGCAAACCCCTATGATGGGACTTCTGAGTGCCTAAATCAGAAAAGCTTGAGTGGTTTTTCCTCGTTATGTATGCTTCTCTGTCCAGTTGGCTTGTTGACAACTTGTGATTAATGTAGAGCACCACTGTTTAAGTAAATACACTTGCAACGCCAAGCACAATAGCAAAAGTTTTGTGGGGTTCTGCTCCTCAATGTACAAATGAAGCTCTCTACCTCATTGGGCGACTCTTGGTGAACAAATTCACAAACGTGGAGCATCGAGTCTAGGCACATCACAGCACTTCGTCTGCCCCTGGTTGGTCCAATCAACCGTCTTGCTACCTGCGGCAGTAGTCAATCTCTTTGGAGAACTTTTGCGACAAAGATCTCTTTGAGAACTAAATAAAAAGGATCTTTGCGGAAAGCAAATGTGTTCATGTATGTTCATGTCATTTGTCTATCTACTTGCAGAGAGCAAGGTGTCGTTCTTCCCACGTCAGTATGTGTGCACTGCTGACCTCAAGTCATTTGGTTGGTCTGTCTGTGGAGCCAAATTGACTGAGTTCGTCCACGTGGTGAATCTATTCTTGCTGTGATGCTGTTGTCCAGCATGCTTCATTCTTCACACCTTTTCGCGTCGTCCGGAAGGTGGATATCCCATATCCCAAAGTCCAAGGAAAGAATGACGCACCTTCCGAAGGAAATGGAATTGGAATGATCGCTCGCTTCGACCTGAAGACGGGGCGGGACCCAAATCGAGCGCTTTTTCTCGTGGCTCGGACCCAAAAGGCGCCCGACATGAGCGCAGGAGTGTGGCGGGATCCAGCTCTTTTACCACAAAGGTCAGCGACCCAGTGAGGAATATAGTTTTACCAGTGGTGGTTCCCTAGTAGGGAGGCATACAGTGCCCTTGGCCTTGGCTCAGCTTTGAGACACGCGATTACATTGGCAATCTTCTCCTGCCAAGCAATAAGTCATGGGGAAAACTCAAGGTCTGCGGGTTCATTAGAATTCGGACTCCCCAAGCCACTGGATGGTGACCTTATGGGTCTTTGCAGGCTATTTTCAAGGCCGGCGATGGCCTCTATTTGAGGTACAGGAAAACCAAACCCCAGCACTGTCACCAGCCCACAGAGCTGGTGACAGCGAAGCGCTCCACGGTAGGCTCCTGCATTCCATCGCGGTAGTCGCCCTGATCACCTCACCGGGAAGGTCACGGGTGGACCATCAGACCATCACGCACGCTCCATACGAGGCCGATTCAAGCTTTCAACCCAGAGTTCAAAGGGTCTGGCCAACAGGAATGCTAAGTATCTCAAATGTTGTTGATAGTCACCTCCCCGCTCTGGCATGAACCACTGGTCGTACTCCTCTTGCGTGTATTCCCAACCTCACAAAACAGGATGCCAAGCATTAACAAATACCTAGTGCGCTGCAATTCACATTCCACAAGACGTTGACCGGTGCTCTAGCAGGGTTGTGCTCTCTCGGGCCGATTGAAAAGGGACTATATTTGCCAGCTTCAAAAAGGGTGCTGGAGTACTGGCTGGCACACAAACATCTGCTTCCTAGATCAGTATGAAAGCGCCACACACTGTCTAGGATGTCCAAATGCGCTGTGCTTTTAAGCTACCATTCTGGGTCTCAATCCCCTGATGGTTTGAACTCGAACTTCTTTGTAGTGTAATACCACAAACCCTTCCTCCTGCAATCGAAAGTATCCATGCTTGAGTGTGAATCTGTTCACTTTGGAGTTCCACATTGGGAGGATTGTCACATACATCGAAGGAATATGTCTTATCCTGAGCGTCCAAGGCCTCCACAAAAGACTGGCCAATTGGAGCAACGGTCAAACAGCAAACGGTCAGAATGCTATGCTAATTCTAATTGAAAGGTCAGGAAAAAATGGACAACATAAGTTGAGTTTCCAGCCCATATTTTTCTTTGTGTAGAATTCAAGCGCTCCTAGAGGAAATAGCTCGGTCCTTAGTGAAGAGCATTGCAAACCTTCCAGTCCTTCCAGGACAGAACTAGCTTGGAAGGCTACCCTGCCTTTAAACAATTCAAAAGGATTGAGAAAAAAACTATGGAAGCCATGTGACCGTGTGACCACCTTGCCTTCACCCATGAGAGCCTTGTGACTCTGGGACGTCCGTCTCTACGGGCGTTCGGCGCCCGAACAAACACCACAGGCCCACAGGCGCCATCGGCCAAGCTGCTCAACCACAGAACTCTTCACTGAGATATCCTGGCGAAATAGCTTCTTGTTACTAGTAGCGATGCCCTTGTTCCTAGTAGCTTCTTGCTCCTAGTAGTGTGAACGTCCGTCGAGTTTTTGCGATTATATTACCGACTTTTGGCTTTGGCTTGTTTGAGCTGTGTGTTATTTCTTTCACCGATGGTGTCTTTTTCGTTGATGTGCTTGGTTCATTCTTTTTATCGACCACTCCATGACCTGTGATGGTAGAGACAAGCGACACAACATGTCGCTCCTCAATGACACCCACAAAGTTGCGCACTGTGTAGTCTCCAGCTGCAGCAAGGACGAGCGGGTGTCGACAACAAATCCAGATCGAAAGCGAACCAAACAACAATGAGCGTGACATGTCACTACAACATCAGTCATCCGGAATATGATCAACATCTTTGACCAAAGCGACCAGAGAGGTTCAGCCTGTCTCTGATTCACTGAGTCCAACACCTTCAGCTGTGATGCTGCGAATGTGCCTCTCACGAGGCCCGAGGACACAGTGGCACAGCTAGGATCTAAAGCGGCGCAAGCGTCTTTGGTCGAAGTCTTCACCCTTGAAGCCAAGAAGCGAATACAATTCCCCGGCATTCTTGAAGTGCGGATACGCCCTCAGATCAAAAACATCAAAGGGGATTATCATAATATACTACAGTACATGACAGATCATGGAAGCGGTGTATCTTGTTCATATCTTCAAAAACAACAATTCTCTGTCTGACACATCTCAGAACATTAAGCTGCTCGGACCCATGGTGGTTCAGTTGGTCCACATCCGATGAAAACAGCAACCGCGGAGTGCCAACCGCAAGTCCTCGCTGCTTGCGCCCACTGTGTTCAGCTCCCGGCGAGTTGAGATTCTTGCCAGGTGATCCTGTTAGCGCAGAGGCGGGCCTCTTCATCACCTGAGAGGTGTCAAATTTGGGAGCTTGACATGCCACGCAATCTCTTGAGCTCATGACACTGGGAAGTGGCAGCAAAATTTGCCCCAGCAAAGAAGGCGGACAAGCGACCAACCTGTTGGAGCTTACGCGCGAAAGTGTCTTTAGCATGACTGCTGATAGCTATATGGCTGAGGCAAGGTCAGGAGTCTAAAAGCGTTCCATTGAAATGGAGACAAGCTGAAACAGCTGCTATTTAATTGCTATTTGGCACGGTATCCTTGTTCGTTATATGAATCATACACCACCTTGTGGTACCAGTAGAACATGGTTCTGTTGATGAGCACGTACTTGTCACATCCACAAGAACAGCCTTGCACATTGACGAATGATTCACAGTATTGTGTTGCTGAGTGCTGGAGCTGGTTTTGCTTGGGCGTAACTCCACTACATGATACTACACGGCAATTGGGGATCTCAAAGTACAGCACCCTTCTTGGATGCTCCCCTCTACTGTAGCCATGCAACAAATCCGACACTTTGTCAGGCGCAAAAACCCTTCAGCTAAGGATCTACATCACCTCGAGGTGGTTTCTGCGAGAAGTGTACATCCTCACTTTGGGACATTCACTTCGATCTTTGCGTGCTTCTCCCGCTGACCCTGTCATCTTTGTCGCTGAAGGCTTGGAAGGACCTGATTTCTGAGAGCTGGGACCTTACAGGCTAGTACGAGCAGTTCTCCCACAAAATGTCTTTCACAACATGTGACAACTATAGTACATGCACTCAGCAAAACAACAGCAGCAGCAGCAACAACAGCAACAGCAACAGTCACAGCCACAGCGACAGCCACAGCGACAGCGAGAGCGAAAGCGACCAACGACAACGACAACAACGTCGTACAAACAAAAACTCCCTCCTGGAGACAAAAACACCTCCAAAACACCAAAAACGGACCAACCCAAACGTCAGTGAAACAAGTCCAGCAAGTTGGAACCAACATTCCCTCAAACCTTCAACCATATTCCCAACCTTGTCCCCTTGAAGTTCCAGGGTTACAACATGTGACAACTATGTTGGGCAGCTGCAGCTGCACCAACAACAATAAACAACGATAATAAGAACAACAACATGAAAAACAGTACTAAACGCTGGGCTCTGTAAAGTAAAGGGACATAGGATCATCTGCCCCGTAAAAATGCAAGTCCGCCATGCATACGGGTGGAATGACTGGCGGCGACCCAAACAAAACGAGCCAGCTTTTCAGGATCTTCGGCTCATCCTCGTCCTGTGGCGTGAACTACACTACTCGGTGTACCTTGTGATTGCAAGGGTGTCCCCAAGTGCACAGTGCTATACCGTATTTGGGGGTGCATACTGCATATCTCAAACAAGAAAGTCTGTGCATATACAGTGGGTATCGTATCCACATAGCATTGTTGTGCTCACAGCAGTTCCTGCTTGTTTTGAGGTAGGTTCCCCCCCCATTTTGGGTATATCGCCAAGGCCTCTCATAAATACACAAACACGTTATATATATATATATATATGTACATACATACATACAAGTATATATATTTAAAATTCTATATGTTATAAATATACTGGCTTGTCAACACATGTTTTTCACTGCAAGTGCCGCAACTCATCGCTCCTGTCCAACTGCAAAGTAGTCTCCTGCTTCACCGCCAGCCTCAGTGTCAAACACATGGCGGCCATGAGCTGTCTGCTCTCAAGTTGAGCTCACTGCTGCCCGCATGGAGCTGCCTGCACGAAGTGACGCAAACTTACGTAGAGGCTGAGTTCCACCTATTGGTAGAGGGCTGTGCAAAGATTCCAACGAACCTCTTCGGCGAAGTACGGCTGTCTGTCTACCAAACTTGTTCGGACCCTGCCGTACTGCTCGACATGAAATGGATTGGACGGCTGGAAGAGTTGAAGATTCTCTTCACCTTCAATCCGTCTGAAGTAGTTATATATACGAGATAACTTTAGACTTTAGACTGGCTGCAAGCATTTCAAGATCCGTCTGGCAATCATTTTGAGTGTACTTCAGACTCCAGACTGCGACCTCCCAGGAATGCCAAAACTCATCCCAAACTCCAACTCCAAGGCCATCTTCTCGACAAACACCGCGGCTCTGGGCGACCCAGACCATCAGCGATGTCACCAATGGATTCATAGCGTTTAAAGTGCGCAATCTTTCCACTGACCACCTGCAAACAAGTGCGACCAATGCATCAATTCGCTTAATTCGCTTGGCCAACAAGAATGTCCATGGGCGATTTCTGCGCCTTTTCGAGAACTGCCCAAATTGTTTCGACGCAGCATGATACCATACACAACAACCCTCAAGGTGCAGTTGCAGCAATCGCAAATTGCGCTTGCGAGAGTGTAGATAGTACATGGGGTTCAGCCTGATCTTCAGGCAAGCTGAGCTTCCACCGCAAATCCAAGAGATACCTGACAGAAGTGTGTGCACAACGCGGAAATCTCTCCCTTGCAGCAAAGTTCTGTCTGGACCCCACTGACATGCTGATGTTCCTAAGCGACGGTCAGCTGGTCCAACGGGGGCACCAAACAATTGCAAGCGTGAAAAGGCAGAACGGGATGGAAACAAACATGGCAATGGACTTCCGGTAGAAGACCCAAACCTGCACATGCAATGCATGAAACCATATTCGATATTGGTTTGCATTCTGTGTCACCTGGCAGCATTTGCAGACTTGGCTCTACTAATTCCTCAACCAAGGTCGCCTGCAAAATGCTTGCGACGAAATAGATCACCCATCCGCACATGAAGCAGCTAAACACCAGCGTTTGATAGTCTCGAAGGGTGTCGCATGCCTGGCAACCGCCCAATCTGAAAAGCTGTTGAGCAAACTGCATACCGCAATGTGCCGCTTGAGGCAACCATACTACATTGCAGTGCTTGCCTTTGTGAAGCTTAGGTAGTCTTCGAATTTGTGGAGGCAGGTCTCAACTAGTCGAACAGTTTTCAGCGAACAACTGTGTTTTCCAAAAGTATGATAGATTGTCAAGAGAATGGACAGAAATTGGATTGCTAGGAACATATTGAAGCATCCAGTCCAAGTGCCTAATGCAAGCCTTTCGGAGGGCTACCTGGAACCTCTCTTCAACGTGTAAAATTGCATGAGTTAAATTTAGAGGAAGTGGCCACGCACCCGGCCCATGCTGACTTACCTTATGCAAGTCAGTAGCACCTCTCTTGCCTCTCCTTGGCCATCCCGAACGTTCCGATGGCAAAGGCATGTCAGTAAGTCTACCCCTGCGATCCATGAAGTTGAACAAAATGATCATCCCTCGTTTGCTAAGCCACACAATGCCACTTGTCCATGCTACCTCTAAGTCGACTCTAGGTTCAAGACTGCTTTCCTCTCGCCCTCTCTGTCTCCAAGCTTTAAGGACAACACTGCAATTGGATAAAAAATCTGATGCTTGGGCTTCGTACAGCGCCAGTGATGGTGCCCAAACAGACAACGAGCTGGAAATGACAATGACTCCAAGCTCAGCACCTCATGGCAGTCCCAAACTCTCTACACCGAATGGTTCGCATGGCCAATGGGGTCCAGACGATAGAAACATGAAGAAATTGACGGTACCAACTTTAAACCCAGGGACCCATTGCAGCACAAACGCAGAAGAAATAAATAAGTTCCAGCGTTGCGTTCTGCTTCTCCTGCATTGGGAGACCAAGTACATACTTTCAAGAAATCCAATCTCGGAATTTGAAAACTTCTGAGTCACATGAGCAACTTCCTTCCACCAATCCAATTTAATGCACAACTTGCACAACCGTGATTTCTGCATCCTTCCCTACCTGCCTCTGGCATCGGTGCCGTGATGAAATTGAAGGCAAAGCCTGCCAGCATCGCTGCTTGTCCTGACGACGGATCTTGGCAACATTCGTTGGCCCTTCTTCCTGTCACCCTCCGTCTGTCTTGCAATGAGTCACACACTCTCTGAGCCCGGCGCCTGAAATGGTCTGGTAGTTTCCACAATACCAATCTACCTAGCGAAATACAATTTCTTGTTCATGTCAAGCTAGGTCTTGTCTTGTCCTTGATAAACTCGTAAAGCATGGAATTCAGCACCTCCATCTGCCGTATTTCCACCTGGCCTTAGACTTAGACATTAGTGACATGGTGCTTAACAAAGGAAAACTTAAGGAGTTACGGCTCTGAGTTCAAGACCTTCCGAGACATTTGTCACGATCTTATTCTTTTTCAGCTGCAACATGTGGCCCTGTCAAACTTGGGGGGTTCCTGATGACCAACAGTGTAAGCTCAAAATTGTTGTACTGTACACATCTGAATCGACAGCTCTAATCTTCTGTAAATCTTCGTATTTGGTTGCCTGAAAATGAAAGGTTGGACTGGTGCATAATGCTCACACTGGGTCTTGAAAATTAGGAAAATTGGGAAGTTTTTTATGTTTGGGATTACATGCGCCGGCATGCTCCGAAGCCCAAACGGCTGCAAAGCAGCATGCAAAACATCACCGCGACGATATGCAAGAACCCAAGGCAAATGAAGTGGTGACTCTCCTGACTCTTCCGACTTTTGTTGACTTCGTGCCAAGCGCGTGTTTCTTCGGCGGACCACTGAGGTGGACCACAATTGATTGCACAATCTGCGATCCGAAAATGTCCGGCGCATGCTTGTCAAGCAACGGAAGGCACCGTGTCCTTTTAATGCAGTGGAGATTTCCTTGCCTGTCAGAGACTTCGGTATTGACATGGAAGATGTGTTCTCCGCTTTGTTCTCAGGAGGAAGAACTGTGCAAACATACTACAATTTAGACAGCTGCCCAATACACATTGACCAGTATTCTTGTGATGTCGTGTCTGCGCGAGCTGCTTTTTGCAGCTCAGCACCCAGTGCATTGCGCCTTAGAACCGAAGAGACTCCCATTGTCCTATTGGAAGAAGCTCCTAGTAGCTTCTTGTTCCTAGCAGTAAGGCCAGGAGCCCCATTCGTAGCGTCCTTGTTCCTAGTAGCGATGCCCTTTGCTCCTAGTAGCGTTCTTGCTCCCATTGCAAAGCCCAGCGTTGCACTTAAGTGACCGGCATTTCCGGGTCAGCCGAAACTAGCCGCAACTTGAGGAGTGACCAGAACCAGCTGCCCTGCCTGGCTCGAGGGGCGAAGGAGAACGGCGCTCCAAGCAATGAGACCAGGAGAAAAATCCCCCCAGGAGCCCATTGCTTCTAGGTTGGAGGCCATCGCTATTAGGGCCTCCAACCTACGCGCGATGGCCTCCAACCAAATAGCAATTGCTATAACTTCACGATGGACAGGTTGCAAGAGTCTGCACAATCACTGTCACGCATGTCCGCGTTCTGCAACAATTCATTTACTCTCGCACTGAATGACTGACTGACTCACTGACTCACTCACTCACTCACTCACTTACTTACCTACCTACTTACTTGCTTACTCATTTACTTACTCTCTCCATTGAATGTGTGGATTGGTCTTGCAGGGCTTTGCAGCCGGATCTTATTTCTGCTTCTTTTGTGTTGGTCTGTTTAGGCCCCTCATTCAGAATCAGAATGCTCAAATGAACTATTTCACGGTGTGTGTTCTCCATGTCACATCTGACCTTCAAGCCCATAGTTGTACACTTGCAAAAACATCCAGACCATACCCGTTTCGTCTAGTTCTTCTAACATCTGCTAACTGCTCCAGTCTCACCTTGTCTTCCTCCCAGAACTCGTGCGCGTAGTCCCCATCAGCATCAATCAGCATCGGGGCTCCAAACCTCGAGGCGATCACCGACGACCTCGTTGTTCTTCCGTGTTCTCCTCGGCTCCCTGCAAACCCTGATTGCCAGAGCCATCTGGAGTCTCCACAAACACCTGACAAACGGTGGAGTCATGAGCTCGTCCATTGATAATCGTGGAACTGGAAGAGCACTACCTGTTTGTAGGAAAATGGCCATCCAAGCGGGGCATGTTTCACTTTCATGATTGTTTCAGGGAGTGTATATAAGCAAAAGAAGATACGATTGGCAATAATTGTGGACAAAAACATGAATTGTCCTTTTCAATTTGAAGGGTTGCTGATTGGCGGGAATGGCCGCTCAAAACCCATTCGACTGCTAGCACCAGACGGTCGGAAAGTGATAAATTGCTTCATGCAAATGGAACGATGGGGTCAAAAAAGAACACCTCCGCGGCAAAGAGGAAGCAAAAGGCAATGTGCTGTCTTGGAGTGAATGGACCGACCAAGTATGAAAGAGGCAATTCCATGTCGCTACAATGGACTTCATGGTTCACCAATGTGTCCGAAGATCGGGGCTCATGAGGGGGGGGTTCATCCACGTGCCCCTCCGATCGACCTTCAAACGGCTTCGACCCGCCGCTCACCGGCTCAGCTGCCGGAGGTTGAATGATCGTGTGCCGTGGTAGCCCAAGGAGCCTTGGGAAGCGCAGGGAAGCTGAGTTCGAGCAGTGTCATAAGCAAAAGTCAAACTAGCAAGTTGGGCTTGCATGGATCATGGGTCTTAATCATCACCAAAGTTGATTATTAATGTTCATGCCCTGCCTGTTGATATCCTCTCGTCCCTGTATAACTCGAGGATCCTTCCAAGGCAGCTGATGGTCCCTTCGTGTTTTTGGATGTTTGGAGGGTTCAGCAGTCTTGGAGGCTTTTCATTTTACTACGTGTGCTCCCCTGCCCCGCTCCTCGGAGGCCGCAGTCATGCGCATCATCATCTCTCTGTAGCCCTCATTGAAAGAGCAGAAAGTGATTTATATATATATATATACAGTGAAGGATATCTATTATGGTCTGTCTGAACAACACCCAATGCCGATCTAACAAGCCAGTGGAGCCAATGGGATCGGGGAAAGACGCTTCGATAAAGATATGTCTTTTTAGGGCGCCCTTACTTAATTAAATAGGCGCCTGCATACTGTAAATAAGAAAAGAAGAAGTGTAAGCCAAGTAAGCCACTAGGAGAAGTTCGCTCCTTGCTGGGACGCTGGATAGCTCGCACTATATAATGATCTGGTTATCTGGTTCCTAGATTTTGAGGGAAACTAATAGTGATGGCCTCCAACCTACTAGCGATGGCCTCCCCGTAGTGGCGATGGCCTCCCACCTACTAGCCATGGTTCCTAGATTTCGAGGGAAACTTACTGCGCAATGGTTCTGTCCTCATTCTTCGGTTGGACCAGTGTTCCAGCCGCCCGATCAGCTGGGTGCGGGCACATCCCATCCAGCTTGGAGGCACCAAGGCCTAGCGAACGTTCATTCCGGGTGACCGTGGACATCCCCGCACCGGCTATGAAAATATGACAGCCAGTGGGTACTCACGAGGCCCCGCGGACGGTCAACGCCCCACGCCTGTGGGGCCTCCAAAAGAAACACAACAAGCCGGAGTCCCATGAATTTCAGGTGTTGTGGAATTGGGTTTATGATATAAACCACTTGGTATTGGTGGAGCTGACAAGCCAACAAAGGGCATCGCTGCTAATAACAAGCACCAACTAGTAACAAGGTGCATCGCTACGAACGGAGCGATCGGACGCCTACGAACGTAGCTCCTGGCCATACTACTAGAGCAAACGGAAGGTCCACCTGTCCCCTCTCTGAGCTTCCGGACGTCTGTGGAAGGACACGGCGGTAGACATGGAGCTGGGCAGGTCGCGTTACTCCGAACGTCCGAACCGTCGTGACCGGACGTGGCATACGTGCAGTCATCGCTGAACGCCAAACTCCAAAGGTCGTATGGGGTTGTGAGCCGCTGAGACACAACATACATCCAAACCTCCCTGAGAAGCTGGCTAAAAGACCTTGAAGCTGAGTGGTAAATGCTGTCTGATCAGCATGTCCACGGATCCCTCGCTTGGGGTGTCTATCCTGCCGCAAAAGGGGACGATGTGGGTACGTACATATCTTGTGCTTATACTAGAGGCCAGCAAGACATAGCAAGACTAGAAGCATCCGTTTATATACCTATTTCCGAGGGTCCAAACGCTGATATGTGTTGTTTCATAGAAAAAACGGATGAAATTGGTATGCTGATTGTCCTGCGCATGCTTCAGAAGTTTCTGAAACGCGTCTTCTGCAAAGGCAGCCTGGCAGCGGCAACAAGTGAGCAGCAGCTAGCAATTCTGCCAAGGCTGGGGGTGGAAGTGTCAAAATGTCCGAAGGATGGAGATCCTTTACATTTCTCTGCTGTTTTGGTGGTGTGCAAAGGTGATGAGTCCAGATGACTTTATGTTCGGTTTGTCAACCCATGGCAAGTTATCATGGTGACTCTATGCATACACTTGATTGACACGAGTCTGCTTTTTAATTGACTAGCGATACCCAGTTCATGGAAAGTATATTCTGCAAACCATAGCAACCAAAAGGATCCAGGATGTTCTTCCCCCACCAGTATCAGTGAACTCCCCTCGGTGCCATAGCGTTGACAGCCAAACCCAAGATAAGATAGCCATTGGAGGACGCCCCTGCAATGACGCAGGACGCCCCAGTTCCATTACAATAGCGATCGTTCAACGATGATAAGGTGCCCAAGGTCCATGTTGTATTCCATTGTTTGGCTGTGTGAACACTTGCTTTTGGAAACACTGTGGAATCCTGGATCTCTGTGCAACCATCACAGCTCATGTGTGCTTGGCTGGCGTTTAGGTGCTGCATGCTGGGGCAAGCCCAGTCAAATAGTGCAATTGTTGTTGGACTTGTCCGCAGCTCAAAGTTCAAGATTGACCGTCAAACAATTGCGTGGTCAGCCTGAAGTGTTCAATGTTTTTTGACTACACGGAAATTGAAACATCTAGGTTAGAGGCCATCGCTATTAGGTTGGAGGCCATCGCTGTCAGGTTGGAGGCCATCTCTATCAGGTTGGAGGCCATCGCTCTTAGGTTGGAGGCCATCGCTCTTAACTTGGACGCCATCGCTAGTAGGTTGGAGGCCATCGCTCTTAGGTTGGAGGCCATCGCTCTTAAGTTGGACGCCATCGCTAGTAGGTTGGAGGCCATCGCTTTTGGGTTGGAGGCCATCGCTAGTAGGTTGGAGGCCATCGCTCTTGGGTTGGAGGCCATCGCTAGTAGGTTGGAGGCCATCGCTCTTGGGTTGGAGGCCATCGCTAGTAGGTTGGAGGCTATTGCTCTTAGCAGCAAAACAGAGTCCCTTGCCTTTAAGGCCTTCTGCAGCTCCAAAGCCTCGCACAATCGACATGTCCATTGACAGAATGAACTTCTTGCAGAAAGCGATTTCGCCCTCCTATAACACAGGTAAGGTCCTGGAAGGTAATTCACCAGCCAAACTGAGAATTCCAAGGTCGTGCAGCCAACAATCAATCACTCAGGCTCTGGAAGATATGGCCGGACGTCGCTCCCTTGCCTCTTTCACTGTGTACTGGCCTTCAACCGGAGTAGTGGGTGACCGGCCACCTGATGCAACCAGCCAAGCAATGGAAAATAATGTGTCTCTGTTTCTTTCTTTTTGTTTGGAGCCCGCTCCTACTTAATTGAGTAGGTGCCTACTTAATTAAGTAAGGGCTAAGGCAGCTTCTAGGTAGGACGTAGGATAGCTCACGCTTCTTCAAGAAAGCGCTTGAACTAATGACTTGGTTCCTAATTTTTTACGGAAACTTGTGCTAAGCTGTTAAGCAGCAGATTTGAACACTTGTATATACCTTCTGATACTAGTACTGTACACAATTGGGCCTACAGCAAGAGAAAAGGTGCCATGTTTTGTAACTAAATTCCTCATCCTCGGGCAGAACAAAGAACTCCTAGCATCCATCATCCATCAATACTCCTGACTCAGACCTCTTTAATTCCCATCCAATCACATGGCACATGAGCTGCAACTACGGTAAAAAGCTCAGGCTGCCTGAAGCAGCTGCATCACCTCGGAACAGTGCATGCTGCGTTTTTGCACTAAACAGAATGGTGGTCGCATAGCTGAGGTGAAGGCCTTCAGTTCCGCCTCGCACAACGAACTGTTTGTTCCATCCAGCATGAACAACTGCTTATGCTCTGCGCTAGACAGAACTCAGACATTTTTCCTGTGGACATTCGACATTTGAGAAGAAACTCACTGCCCTGGACAACTCGAAGAGCATGGTCAAGCATCGGTTTGGACGGCACTTTCTACAAACCACTCATGCCGTGTCCCTGTGTGCAATGCATCACACGACCTTCAAAGAAAGACCTTGTGCGATGGTTTCCCGGAACACGGCCAAACCTCCGCCTAGAACACCAGCGATCTTGCTCTTTGCTCCAGACTCAGATCGGTGGAGCTGCACGTTCGAAAAATGGACCCCCATAGTGCATGGATGTGATCCAACCCGTCTGCACCTATCAGTACATGATCCATCCATGCACCAGATATATGTACAAAGATCTGCTAAGTGAGATTGCCAGGGCCCCCGCGAGTCCCTGCCCCATAGCTGCAGACACCTAATTAGTCGCTCAGTCGCCACTGGAAACATCGATCAGCAAATTGGAAAACAAAAGCGATGCCTTGATGAAGTGCCATTAGCTTTGAACTTGAGCCACATCAGCCGGTGTTTGGTGTATTCAAATTCGAGTCGAGTCCGAGTGAACAGCTACTAAATGTCTGATTGTCCAGGCAAAATAGACCTTGTACAATTCTAGTTCTTGTTTCTAATAGCTTCTTGTTACTAGTAGTAAGGCCTAGTAGCGTCCTTGCTCCTAGTAGCGATGCCAGGAGCCCCTAGTAGCGTCCTCTACCCCGCTTGGATGAGTCATTTGTAGGTCTTTGATTGGCAACTTACGTACGTGCGCACTGTTTGTTTAACATGTTTTAACCTCTAGCCAAGCAATGCTAAGAAATCTCCATGCTCGTGACCTATGCACGCAGTCGGAGCTAATGAGTGTCTCATACTGGGAATCTGCATGAGGGAGATGGAGAGTTCATGAGAGTTCCATGATTTTGCTGCAGAATCGGCAGATCTTTGGAGACACCACGCAATGGACAACTCTGACAACTCAGGAAATGCCTGGTCTTCAAGCAATCCCACCTGCGCAGGTTCACAGCAAGTTGCCAAGGAGCAACGACTGCAGCCAGTGGGTCTATTTCTACCAGGCTCCCTTGTCCCTCAAACAATGCCAAGTTTTTGGATGACATACTCTCGACTTTAGAGGGTTTGTCAGAAGGGCATTGAAACCCTGAGGCCAACGGTTTCAAAAAGAATCAAATGACTCCAGCCTCAACACAGAGTGAGAAAACCATGTTCCCGAAAGGGCACCTAGAACCACCGTCGTGGTCTTGTCACATTTCCCAGTGCAAACTCACCACCTTGGGTAGCAAAGGGCTCTAGTTTAGTGTCACTGTGTTTGCATGTTGCTGCTACGCTGAACCAAGCCTACAAAACATAGGATGAACATGAGGTGAGACAAATGAATGGATAGATGATCTGATAGATGTATTTTCTCACCCTTATCCTCAAACATGGGAAAATGTTGTGAATCTATGGGCGACTGGTGCATCGCTGGCTTGGACTGGACAACTGCTGATTCGCATTGAGGCTCCTGCCATATGCGAGCGCAAAGCCTTGTGGGCAAATAGAAAAAACTTTCAAGTCCTTGCAGCTCACGGAAAGCTCACTCTCCTCTGAAACATCTGTGGATCAAGAAAGGTCTCCCAACGATAGGCCCTGGAGGCTGAGAGGAAGAGAGTGGAGCATCTTGCTAGATGCTCGACTCTCCTCCTCTCACCCTCCAAGGCTTTTTGGGCCACTCTCTTGGCATGGGTTTCCCCTGCCGCTTTGCAGTCAGCTGTGCATACCACTCTCAAGCTTTTGCCCTTGACTCGTGAGCGGCAACTTGCCACCAAGGCTGGTCCTGCTCCTTCACACTTGCAAAGTCGTTGCCCAATCAGGCCAACACGCTCGCAACGCAGTGTTGCCAGAGACTTGCTGTTCATCTTTCTCTTTCTCCCGTGCGTCATGCCAGGGTCTCTCAACAAATCTGCTGCGTCGAGTGTCCTCTAAGAGTCAAACCAAAATCGCAGTGTGTGCCGAATGGTTGATGCCGCACAAGCATGCATGTGCAAACTTAGACTACAAGACACTGCCATGGCAATGTGTGAATAGTCACGAACCCCTGCAAAGCGCGCCAATTGTGGTCGCTCTGGGCGTGGGCATCATGGTTGTCTATGGTTGAATGTTCAAACATCTTGGCTGGTGGAGCTTTCAGCACTAAGTTACTGTCACATCAAACAGACTGCCATGATACACCCACTATTATTCCAATGTTGAACATCATTGGGTTGCCATCATTTCAGCCACGACTTCCTCTCAATGATCTATTTTATATACTGTAATTCTTCTTAGCCGCTGCTCCCATTCCAATATCTCAGCATCAGCCATGACCTGAATGGTTGGTTGGTTCCTGGTGGCTTGGCGCGGGACACTCGAACGTGACGAGTGTCCCGCACCAAGCCACCGTGGAACAAACCACCCGTTCAGCTAAGCCATCGAAAATCTCCCTTCACTCACAAGGTCTGCATTATCCATGCTCGATGATGACCTCTGTCGCTTGTTGGGACTGTTTGCCAAGAAATTGCTGAAGCTCGCGAGCTTCATCTGAGCACTCTTGTGCTGGATAGGCTAGGCTCGGCTCTTCCACAAAAGGGTGACAGTGCCATGATTTGAAAAATCCACCACCGACATGTTAAAATCCAAATCCTCTGCGAATGCCCAAACAGGTTAGTCGATGTTCCACTGGGGCAGGATCCTGCAGCATTGGATTCAGTCCTCCCGTGAAGTCCGCCCACGAGCATCATAAGCCTCATGCTAGCGAGCAGAATATCAACTTGAAGACGCCAATCCCACATTCAACAACAAAAGCAAAGTGTTGAGCACAGCCTCCACAACTGTGCAAAGGCACCTTGGATGCATGGTGATGACGTCTGGCTGATGCCAAGGATGTGCCTATGCTGTTTCTTCAAACATGAATCAGGTGCCAGTTTACACCAGGGGCGGCTAGCCTCTACGTCTTGCCTGCCAGAGAATTCCCGCAACCTTTCACAGCTCCGCCAAAGAGCTCGTGCTACGGAGTACGAAAATGGCATGAATAAAAGGGCTTTGATGCTCACGCAGAACAAGTTGATAAAAACACAGAACAAGTTGACTTTTCTGCAGCTCCAGACTCCAGACTCGGAACTGAAAAGTTCGAGACGCCGAGACCAATATAATTTTGCCGCTGCAGTGGCAAGTGATTTGTCTACGTTCCAACTTCCAGACTCGGAAAACAAGTGTCACGTGGAGGAGCTGGGGTTCGGAACTCGGTGATGCCAGCATCAGGATCAAACCTACCAAGTTGCAGCTATCATGGTTGAAAACGGAATTGTGAAACACATCAGACATACAAAACACAGCCATGGGTGATTCGAATTGCCTGTGAAGCTGTAGGCGAGATTGTCCCAGTTCTGGCATTGAGCAGCAGGGTTCGTGGGTTGTTTTACTTTAAATAAAATGTGATGCTCATCTGCAGTGCTTCATTCGAATCCCCTGCCTGTGTCTGAGGTGACAGCATAGATACTGCCTGGTCATGGTAATTGGGCCCGTCCCTTGCGTCGAAAATTGGGCTTAAGCTAGTAGAAACAAGTGCCTTACTAGTAGTAACAAGTGCCTTACTGGTAGTAACAAGTGCCTTACTGGTAGTAACAAGTGCCTTACTGGTAGTAACAATGTTTGCTATTAGAATTAAATTAAGTCGGATCCTAAGTCCGTCCCGCGAGCCTTCCAAACATCGAAAGTCTTCCACTGGGTTTGGCCTTGGGTCGTAGCGCAGCATGCAGCTGTACAATGCTGATCCCTACAGATTTGCCTCTCAGCTTCTGACAATGGACAATGCACAGAGAGCTTCAAGGATGGATATCTGAAGTCCACCTCAGACCCCATGCTGAGATTAAGCTTTAGAATAAGCATCCAGTGGCACTCAAATGGCTAACCAGGTTCCTTATGTGTCCTTATCTATTCTCTGCACGAGCGGAGTGTTCTTACTAAGTCAAAAGGCCATTGTTATCTCTCCACGGTTTGTGACACCTTCTCGGAGAAGATTGGCGTAGACCTGAAGAAGGAACAAGAATGAAAGCTTGGACTTGAGCCGGAAGGCTAAACTTCAGGCAGAAATTGCACTTCTTGAGCCGGAAGGCTCAATTTCAGACAGCAATTGCACTTCTTCAGACTTGGCCTAGAGCCCTTTAGGAGCCACGTTCGTCCGTCTTCTATCTACAATTGAGTGCCCAGAAACTTGAGTTCAATCGGTCTGTCCTGCGGGAAGCGACCGGTGCGCAAGGGCCAAAGGAGTGTGCCTTACTGAGGGCAGTTGCTCGGTCCTTTGTCCTTTGTCCTTTTCGGTTTCCTTCTTGTTGCACCACACCCTCTGCTGTAAGAATGGCACCGAAATCGTTCTCTGTCACTGGCCTCAGAAGCGTTTCAAACAAAAGGCATCAAACTGAAACAAGATCAACTCAAATCCTGCGTGATCTCCATGGATCTTGGCCGGAGGCACATCCATTACACAGCTGCGTGATCGTCGGAAGTCGAACAACATGGCCGAGAAGAAGCTGGCGGCAGGGTGGACTAGAGTCTGAATTGTCTTATGTAACTTGCAAAAAGCCGCAGCAAACGAAGAGTGTGAATTCACTCTCAAAAACCCAAGATGATGCAAGTCATGCCAACATCCCATACATTGCACTACCAGCATTTCATAGGGTGCAGGATGCGATGTGTTAGGATCTGATGGTGTGAGCCTGAATGTGTAGTTAGGCTTTTATGTTATTTTATATTTTTTTCTCTGTTATATCATTGTATGTGTTTCCTTTTATTTACGTTTTTATATAGTCTTTTTTTATACGTCTATTTTATCTTTTGGAAATGTGTGTATGACTGACTGGTCTTGAGGTGGTGTAGAAGCGTGTGTGGACGCACACGCCCCGTGTCACAGTCGGCACCGCCCCAGAACTTGGCTTACTGGGCGCAGTTGGGGGAGGAGCATTAGGGGGTACTGGGAAACATGCACTTTAGCAAGAAAAGAAATTCTGCAGTCTGATGCTGTCGCGTTTTACAGTAATCGGTTTTAATCTGTATCAATATTTTTACACTTTGGAACAATGGGCACTGATCGAATCGCACAGCTGCCACCATTTGCCACTATGGACCCGTTGAAAACACAAAAAATGACTATATTATATATATATATATATATATAAATACACCGCTGGGGAAAAGGATGGCACAATTTGTCCAATGACCAGTGGTTAACGGCCTAAAGGTAGATTGCGCCAGGTGTGCTCCACCTGAACGCCAAAATAACCTATTGATGGCGCAATTCAGCCTTTTCTGGCCGCAAATATAGCGAGAGCGGCTTGCAAGACACGCTGCCAAAAATGGGTCATAGAAGGCGCAATCGGAGGTAGTGTGGTAAAATAAAGATGGCTCCAAAAGAAAACTTTCGCCATCTACTCCCACCCCGGAGTAAATAAAAAAATACAATCAAACAAAAAAGTCAGCATCACATGAAGCATGAAGAGCATCAGATCGGACCCCCGTGAGCATT